GCAGGTTTTTATTTTAGAAGATTCTTGGTCGCAACTACCATCAAAACTGACGACTTTATCCAACAGAAGAGGAAATATTAAGTTAAGATGTTCAGCAGCATCTCACACATCTTTGAAGTGACAAATCACTACAAAACTATGCTAAAACAGTTATTTGGTATTATTTACGAAAGAGATTGATGAAATTTTGATTAGAGATTTTGACAAAACAAAAACTTTACGCTCGCAAGACAGCCGAATGACCTGCTAACAAAGGCAAGTCTCGATATTCAGAATGTTCATTTGCTTCTCTTAAAACTTGAAACAAAAATCTTATGACTTAAGCAGCAGCACGATGATATATAACAATACCTGTAGGTAAAATGAAATGAGATGCACATTTAAAGAGATGCACGTGAAAAAAAAAGGAAGATGTAGTTGAGGCGTATTAATATGCTAAATGAGAACGTCGCGTTCCACAGGAAACGGGAAACCGAAAACAAAACAAAAAAATAAAAACAAAAACAAAAAAAAGAAGTAGAAAAAACTCAAAGTGACAAGCAAAATTAAGAAACGTACAAAACGTCAGCTGAAAAAAGCAAAGGTAAACAATCTAGTAAAAAACTTAGAAATGAACTGAGATATTGACGAAAACGACCAACAGCAACCTGTAGAAAGGCCTCAGTCACTGAAAAAAAGACAGTCCAGTTACGCTGCAGGTTTGAGATCAACAAAATTCCCCTATGTGGTAGGAGGATAATGCTTTAAAAGCAGTATTCACATACTAGTTTATGTGATTAAACGAATAAAACAAATGTTCCATCACTAAATTAGCAAATTTTGATAAAATTGGAGTAACTCGTAAATCAAAAAGAACTTCCCCACTTAGTTGACACTAAAAGAAACTAAGTGTCAGGCTAGAAGTAATGTTGAAACAAACCGGCTCAAACTTCTGCTGCGGCTTCCATCATATCTAGGAGAACGACGCAGAGGAGGTGTACGAGAACGGCTACGAGAACGCCCGCGGAAAGGGGGAGACCTGAAAGATATTGACCAAAGATTAGTACACCAACTACTTAGCAGCTTTTGGGAAAACCAACGCAACCAGACAAAAACTAAAGAAAGAAAAACATCAAAAACCTTCGAAAATTGCAATAGAACCATTATTAGGACACCTTCTGTAATTATATTCTCTTGTCTGCTTGGAGAGCTCAAAATTCCCTGCATTGATTTTGAAAAAAGCGAGCTGGGTAATGAAGACGCAAAACTTGCCCGTCTTGCAAACTAAAGCCTTATCTATCAAAGCATTTATGGAATTTCTTACCATCCAAATCAGAAGATGGTTGAAATAGTTGGAAAAGCAGTATTAAGTAGCGGAGCAATCATAACTGGTAATACAAGTTGTACACACAACCAAGATGAGTTCACTTATTCAGCCCCTAGGATGATGCCAGCTACTCTCCGCACCACCAAAACAGCTTGTAGAGTAAAGATGAATTTGTGGTTCATGCTACTGAGCCCCAAGATTTGAAAATGAAGAGAAGAGTTGAGCAAAAGTGCAGCGCAGTTTTGATGCGAAGTTTTGAAGGAAGAAAGCAACCAAACATGATGACGATGGTCGCAATGAAGCAGTTATATGATGACGTAAGCTAAAACATCCATTCATAAAAATTATTAATCCTAATTAACTTTTTACCTACCTACTGGATCATCGCCTAAAAATCAAAATAGAAAACTCTGATTTCGTGCTTCAGATGCAGCTTCGTTATTTTTTAACCATACGAGAAATTTTTAATATAAAAAACAATTTCTGAATTTTTATCTAAACAGTTAATTATGACATAAAAACGCAAAACTCCAGCAATACCTCGAACGACGTCTGGAATCGTACCCACCACCGTAGCCACCATTACGACGTCTACCGTGCGACAGTTCAACTCGTGCACGAACACCGCAGATGCGCCTTGAGCATTTTTAAAGTAATGTCTCACTAACATTTTTTCACAAGCTCACTTCTGATAACATTAAATATTATAAATCAAATAAGCATAGTGACACAATAATTTTGAAGTCATGAAAGCTAACTTACGTCCCATCTAACGCTTTAACAGCATCTTCAGCATCACGACTATCTTCAAACTCCACAAATGCAAAACCAGGTGGGCGTCGAGCTACCCAAACTTTACGGATTCTTCCGAATCGATTAAAAGCATCTTCCAGCTACATAAATAGGAAACAAAAAAATAAACGCAAATGGGTGAGAAACTAGATACATGCAAACACAGTTACTCTCACCTAGTATGATTTTCAAAAATTGCTGTTTAAAAAGCTCCCAGTAGTTAATGAGAAAGAAAATCCACACTCAACCTAGGTCTCAAATAAAGCACTTCGTAGAAAAACTAAATGAAGTTTCATCGCATCAACTTATCCCAAAAAGTGATTTTAGTCTTAATATCATTATGCGAGTGCAAAGATGAAGAATGTCAAAAACCTCCTGTGAAGTTGCATCTTGCGGCAAGCCACCAACATAAACTTTACAATCCAGTGGATCATTACGTCGCGCCATCATAAGGTTTTTAAATCAAAAATCAATATTAGTCCTGCAAGTAAACTTGGCAAAAGAAAGTGCTTTAAAAAACATCGTATCAAATCCGAACATTACAACTTAAAATGTATAACACACAGTTTCCCATTCCTAACTTCTACTTATCTTCTGCATCATACTAAAATGAGGAAGAACTATGAAGACAAACAAATAAATAATTATATAAATATAAATAAATAGATGATTATACAAATATAAATATGAATATAAATGAATATATATATATATATATATATATATATATAT